GGTGCTCTCGGGGCCCTCTTGGGGCCCTCTTGGACGTCTCTTGGGGCTCCCTTGGGCCATCTTGAGCCCTCAACAGCCCATCGGAAGCGAAAAGGCGCCAAGGCAAACGAACAATGCTTTGTCTTAGGCTTGTGAGCCATTCTGGCATCTTGGGGGGGTCCTTGGAGGGCTCGGTCTTGGAGCCTCTTGGATGCGTATCGGAGGATATCTTGAGACAAGTTGAAATATGTTGGGCCATCTTGGAGGCCATCTTGGGCTCCCTGAGGCCCTCTTGGAGCCATTTTGAGCCGCAACAAGGCCCTCTGGCACCTCGCGGCCCTCCCCGTTCAGACGCCGGGAGGGGGGGGGAGGTGAACCTCCCCCCGACAAGGGAAAGGTTGGCAAATGAAATGCGCTAGACCACCTCCGCCGAGAGGGCTGGCGGGATTACGTGCCATTGGTCAATCCAGTTGCCGCTTGGGCTGATCAAGCCCACAACAGTCACCAAGTTAGTTGCCTGGATGGGGGACCGCGTTGATGGCGAGGGGACTGGCATTGCTGCCGCTGGACCCCCAGGAGGCGAAAATGATGTGTCAGTGGTCATCGTGCTTGCCAGTCCTGGGGCCGATCGAACCCAGAGCCAGAGCCAGAACGTGCGCCAGAACAACAGCCCCAAGATGATGCTCGCGTTGCTGAATCAAGCGACGCGCCCCTGAGCTCTATACCAGAGGACGCCCCTGCAAGGCCAGCCCAAACTGAGGCGCTGCCCAAGGGTCCGCGCGACGAGGCAGCACCAGCCCCAAACCCCGACCCAGCAGAGGAGGTTGTGGCTGTTGCCTCGCCAGCTGAGTCCTGCGCGGGTCTCCGCGACGCGCTACTGCTCGTAGATAACGTAGGGCAGCATGACGAATTGATTTCGGACTGGCGCGCTAGGCACAGCGGTAAGGAACCACGGTTGCGGTCTCGCTCCAGGGCGAGAGAACGAATCGCGGAGGAATAAGAGATGCGGGGGAGGAAAGCACAGCCTGTTTAGTTTTTGATGTGGGCCCAGCGGGCCTCAGCAAGGGCCAGAAACAGCAGGCTTGGCGCCCAAGCTACGGTGGCCATTCCCCCATGGATGAGGAAAGGGGCTTCAGGGCGTCGCCAGCAAGCTGGACGCAGCCAGCGCTGACCGGAGGAGGAGGAGGAGGAGGAAAAACAGGAGGAGGAGGAGGAGCAGGAAAGGGAGGAGGAGGAGGAGGAAGATGATGAAGAGGAGGAACTGGCGATGGCATGGTCAGTGGGTTGCTACGGCAACCTATCCAGGAGGTCGTCCAGCAGGCGACCCCGCAAAGACGATCCTTGAGGAGGGCACCATCCCGCGGGACTCTTTGAACCAAAGCGGTTACGGTTGGCTTCTCCTCCTTCCTCCTCCTCCTCCTCCTCCTCCTCCTTCTCTTCCTCATTATCCTCCTCCTTCTCCTCCTCCTCCTCCTTGCTCCCCCTCCTCCTCCTTCTTCTCCTCCTCCCCCTCCTCCTCAATCTTTTTCCACCCTTCTCCTCATCCGGCCACCTTCTCCTGCCCCCCCATCTCCATCACCACCTTCATCATCAGTATTATTATTCACCTCCTCCCCCCCCTCCCCCTCTTCCTCCCCTACCGCCTCCTCCCCCTTCTCTTTCTCCCAGGCATGGGATAGAAGAAGGGGGTAGAGTTCCCTGTGGCTAATGCTTCGTGTGTGTGTGTGAGCCCTCAACAACAACGTCTTGCATGTCTACTGGCCTGCGGTCCATCCTACGCTTGTGCCTGGGCTGAAGCTTTTTAGATCATTCGGATAATTCTCATAGTATGTATGGACGTAGGAGGAGGAGGAGGAGGAGGAGAAGGAGGAGGAGGACGAGAAGGTAGGAGGTAGGAGGTCGGAGGAGGAAATGAGGAGGACAAGGGGGGTGAGGACGAGGAAGATGAGGGATGGCAATGGAGGAGGAGGTGAGGGAGGAGGTAGGAGGGTAATAAGAGGGGGAGAAGAATGGCACTGACGAGTTCGGACCTCCCAGGATGGCACACCGCGCAAGAAATAAATCTTCGATCCCGCCGAAGCTTTGGGCAGGCGGGGCAGCGTGTCTGCGTGGTGGCATCGGGGTGGCAAACTCCGCCGGAGGCTCGCTCCTGGAGCCAGGGGCCGGGCGAGGGCGCTGGTGGCCTCCCTCCTCCCTGCTCCCTTCACTGCTCCTTGTGAATAACTCCTCCCTGTCGCACCCCGAGGCCAATCGGACGGGCGGGCCGGTCGTTTCGCCGGAGACTGCCTTACCACTTGTGAGCCTCAAGCTCAAAACCTGACCATCGTTTCACAGGTGGAGGGTGCTTTTTCCAAATTCCTCATGTGTGCCTTTCGGGTGTTTTTTTTCGAGTGCCTTCACGGTGCTTGCTGAGTGTCCTCGGTGAGCACGCCGAAGGCACCCGAAAACCACCCGAAAGGCACCCGATAAGCACCCGCGAGGCACCACGGATGAGGCACCACGGAAGACCCTCACAAGGCACGCAGCAAGCTCCCCGTAAGGCACCAGGGGAACCACCCAGAGCATCCAGAGAGCTACCAGACGGCAGCCACTCAACTACTCGCGATTATCCTGGCTGGCGCTTTAAGAGGCCATGTCGGGGGAGAAGGGGCCACTGTCCAATCCTCCTGGGGTGCGCCTGGAGCAGAAATTTGAATGGATCCAAACATGGCCACGGGAGGCCTCCCACAGGCCCGAGTAGGCCCAGAAACGTCAAACAACTGTTCGAACCTCATGAATGTACAACTGAAATGTGCAAGCCACCGAGGTACCCTAACGGCACCCGCAAGGTACTCCAAAGGCACCTGCAAGACGTTCCCCCAACAACTCCAGGACAACACAATATCCTCGAAAAGTGCTGCACATGCTATTGACATATGCAACTACAACAACAACGAAGAGCTGCGCCGACCGCCCCAGGGATCCAATTGTCAAGGAACCATTGTTGTTGGACAACGTATCCTCGAAAAGTGCTGAGCGTGCTATTGCAATTTACACATGCAAGGGCGACGACTTGCGCATAGCGATCCAGGGATAACTTCATGTTGAAGGCACCTGCACAACAAATACCCTTAAAGGCACCGAAAGTCACCCGCAACTAAGCTTCAGTATATTCACAAAAAAAACAGCGGAAATAAACATATAGAAAAAGTGTTGGCTGCACTATTGATCTGCGCAAGCGCAAGAAGGGTGATCTGCGCCAAACGGCCTGCGGACTTCATTTCGAAGAGGCCCAGAAAACACCTGAAGGGCACCCGCAAACTGCTCACGGCGAAAACTCAAAAACGCGGTCGCCGAAAAAAACAGAACGTGCGATTGACATGCACAAGTGCAGGATGAATGCTTTGCGCCAAGAGGACCTGGGATTTCATTGTAGCGCGCGCGGGCCTTCCCGAAATTGCATAACATTTGCATCATTCCCCCCTCTTCAGAATCTCTCCCAAAAAAACCTCGTGGGAAGCGGCAAGCGTTTGCAATCACGAAACACGCACGCGCTATATTGACATGACGACGCGCTGAAACGATGGTCCTCGACAAGCGACCTGGAAACGTTCTGTTTCCCCAGCCTCTCCGAAATTGGGAAATGACGCTTATCGATTCCCCATTTTCAAAATCTCCAGAAACCCTCGCGGGCACCGGCGGGCGTCTACAACCACGAAACATGCACCAATTTTATTGGCATGAATACACGGGCGGCTCCGGAACCGAAGCCCAGGGGACTCGGGAAACAAGTTGTCTGTTGTTTGTGTTGTGCATGTTGGTCTCCCGCATTGGTTTTGACTGTGCAGGCGCAGGGAAACCTAGCTCCCACCTCTCAAGATCAAAAGCTGCAATGTAAAAACATGAGGTTGCCACTGGTACCTATATTTATGTATATGTACAAATATATGAAAGATTTCAGAATCTGCTCCCGACCTTGGTTTTTCCTGTGCCTGCACATCCGGAACAAACGTCGGAAGCAAAGCTCCGTATATTCTCTTTTAAATCAATAAGGACCCGATGTGTTGATTTGAAGGTTTTTGATTTTGAATGGTGTGATGCGGCTTCCCCTGTGCCTGCGAAATCAAAACCAATGCGAGCAGCAAGCCACAATAACAACCACAACCACATCACATACAACCTTTTCCCGAGGCCTGCGGGTTTTCTTCCTGGGGCCGCACACCATAGAACTCAATGTGCCAGGTTGACAACGTGATTCCTTTAGTGGCGGGTGCACGCATCGGCCCCCTTTAAAACAGATTCGCGAAATCATGTCCGTTTGCTGCCAGAACAAGAAGGGAGTGAAAGAGAGAGAGAGAGAAACAAAAAAAAACACTAAACGAAAACAAGGAAGAGAGAAAGAGAGAGAATTCGGTTACGAAGGTCTTGCGCAATCATGTAAACTCGGATCTTGGGAACCGTCCCTACCATATGTAGATTTATGTATACAAATAAATGGCCGCTCATATATACGTGCGGGCTTAAATGGTCGAGTTCAAGTCACTGGCGACAATGGGGTCACCGCACAACCGACACGACACGCGACACGGGTGTGATGATGATCGTGATGGGTGTCAGCAGCGGCGGTGGTGAAGCTGACGGCGACGAGGATGATGGTGCTGACGATGGTCATGATGATGGTGGTGATGATGATGGTGATGGTGGTGCCGACGATGATGATGATGCTGGTGATGATGAGGATGATGCTGATGATAGCGAAGACGATGATGATGCTGACGATGCTGACGATGCTGATGATGATGATGACGATGTTGATGGTAATGATGATGATGTTGCTGCTGCTGATGTTGATGTTGATGTTGATGATGATGATACTGATGGCAATGATACGCATGATAATGCTGCTCGCCCTATACATGATGCTGGTCGCCCTGAGTGCTGCTCGATCTATGAGAAGCAGCTGTGGTGCTGATGCTAACGATGACGACGACCAACGATGACGCCGATGAAGGGCGCCCCGAGCTGCCTGGCCGCCGGGCAGCTCACCACTGCTGCCCGCCCTCGGCGGCCTGGCCCGCCGGTGCGCTCCAGTCGTCATTGCCGGCCGCGGCGCCAGTGGTCATGTCGTCCCAGTTCCCGCCGGTGGCTTGGCCGCTCCAGTCGTCGGCCGCGGCGGGCTTGGGCGCGGCGTATTCCTGGGCGGGGAACTGGTTCTCCTCCTCCTGCCGCTCGAGCTCCTCGGGGTCGCGCCAGAAGAAGGAGTCGACCATCACGTCCCACTGCTGCGTCCGCTGGATGGTGCCGCGCAGGTACTGCACCTCGCGGGCGAGCAGCCAGTACAGAAGCGCGATGGACTCCTTGCCCTTGTTGTTGGCGGGGATGGAGATGTCCACGTTCTCCAGGCGGGAGTCGGTGTCGCACAGGGCCAGGACTGGGATGCTCGCGTAGGCGGCCTCCTTCACAGCCTGCGAATCTGTGCGCGGATCGGTGACGATCAGCAGCCGCGGCTCGAGATACTTCTGGGTGATCTGGTTGGTCAGCGTGCCCGGCATCCAGCGCCCCGCCAGCGGCATGGCGCCCGTGTACTGGCTGAACTTGAGCACCGCGCGGGAGCCGTAGGGGCGCTGGGACGCGACGATGATGTCCTGGGGGTTCTCGATCGCGACGATGACGCGAGCCGCGACCATCAACTTCTCCCAAGTTTTCCCGAGGTGGATGATGTGGATGCCGTCCACGGTGCGGCGGAAGACGTAGCGCTTCATGCGGTAGTCGCAGTTCCGGGTGCCCAGGTGGGTCTTGCAGACAAGCATCATCTGGATATCCTCTTCCTTGGTGTGCGCCATGGCCTTCCTGCGCTCGGCCAGCGACCGCGCGTGCCGCCCGGGGACTTTCGCGCCCTGCTTGAACCGTGCTGGCTCCAGCCGAAACTGCTCGAGCGGATTCCATATACGGAGGGGCAGCAGTTGTGGGAGGAGTGGCCGTCGCGCGCGGGCAGCGGGGTGGTGCGCCAGGGCGCGGAGCGCGAGCGCTGGGTGCCCGCTGCAGAGGGGGGGGCGCAGAGGAGCGCGAACACATCCAGCAAACACAAAGAACATTAGGGGTACCCTCCCCGAGCCGAACTCGATCATATACCTCGGTCGGACCGTATCGACGGCAAGGAGAGGGATGCGCGGGTGGAGGGGGGGGGAGAAGGGAAACCCGCCAGCGCCAGGCTTTCCGCCGAGAGCACGATGACTAGGACGGTTGCGTGGCTACGCACCGGGACGGCGGCAATGGATTCCACCATACGGAAGGTTCGTGGCGTGATGACCTGCGCCCTTGTTTCTGACACCGCGTGGATCGTTCGACCTAGAGCGATCGCGGCTGCCCGATAGCGTAGATCGGTCGACGTTGGCCGATTCTGGGCCACTGGCGGCGTTCGACCTTGAACGGCCGCGCTGAGGTCGCCGCCGCGTCGACACGACCCGAACCTGCCATACACGGCTACGCGCCAGGATGGCGGCGGTGGATCCTACGTCAACAACAGGCGAGCATGTCTGCCAGCACGGAAGAGCGGTCAGAGCGCACGTTCGCCCACGATGACGCCACTGCTGCGGCCCCGCTGGCAGGGACGCCAGCGCGTCCCTACGGCCCCTGGGCAGCCACGGCGCCTCCCTGGGCCCTCCAAAGCTTCCGAGACGGCCCAGGACGACCACGAAGGCCGCCAAGATAGCCGAAGATGGTTCCAGGACGGCCCCACACGACCCTAGGAAGGCCCTAAATGGCTCCACGACGACCCAAGATGACCTTACGATGGCTCGAAGAGGCCCACAGGACGGACCAAGAGGGCTCCAAGATGACCCTCAATAGGGCTCGGCTCGGCAAACATCAATGACTTCCCCTGAGCTGTTCATCGATCTTAGGGCCCTTCCCTTTCCAAGCTTCCGTCAGCTCAAGGCGGCCTAGGGGCCCTCCAAGATGGCCCTGGGACGGCCCAGCAGGCCCCACGGAGACCCAAGAAGCAAAAGGCGCCCAAGACGGCCTCGACAAGGCCCAAGAGCGATCCTGGGCGGTGCAGGACGGTCCCAACAGAGCCCCAAGCTGGCCCAAGAGGGCTTCTGGAGGAATCCAAGACTGCCCGAAAGGCCGCTCGACGGCCCAAACGGCCCACAAGGGTCCCAAGGCAGCCTCCAAACGGCCACGGCCCCGAGACTGCCCAAGGGAGGCCCCCAGAGACGGCCCAAAAGGGCCCCAGAGCGGCCCAAGAAGGCCCCAAGGTGTCCGCAAGACTGCCATACGTGAGCCCCTCAAAAACTAGAAGAGGACCCAAATGAAACCCATGGGAGCTACTCAAAAAGTGTAAACGAACAGGCGTCACATGTGAGAGTCTTCCCCTTCCTTCTCCTCCTGCTCCTCCGCCTCCTCCTCCTCTTCCTCGCCACTACCATCATCCTCGTCCTCTTCAAATCCCAGGTACTCACACCGATCCCCCGTCGCAAAACCGAGGCCGATGTTCGATGCTCCACGAAATGCCAGGACCGCATGCTGATGGCAACGCAAAACCGAGCCCGAAAACCGAGACCGACGCCCCGAAAACTAAGGTGCATTGCAAGGCACAGCGGCAAAGCAAAGCCTGAGTACCGACACCCTCAGTACACATCGAAACAGGCAACCACGCCCAACCAATCGTGCAACCCACCCCGAATACCTACGTGTATGGCGAACCTGGGAAGTACGTTCCCAAACGCATGCCAACCAAGAATGAGAAATCCGAATCCACATCTAAACCAACAAAGTAATCAAAACAAACGCGGAATCGAAACACATTCACACTAAGTTGAATGTGGACTTAAGGTTTAGTCGCCCTCCCTCCTCGCCCTGGGACCAGTTCTATAAACGGCCCCCATCTCGGACCCTGAGACACACCAAAGTCAAGATGAACCCCAGGAGGGGTCCAGAGGACTGATTTTTGATTAAATTTGGACCAGACGGGAGAGCCGCCGTTGTCTCAACTGGCCCTCCTCCGAAATCTGGAGTCCACGAGAGGTCCCAGAGGGGCCCAGGAGAGCCACGAGGCAGCCCACGGTGTTTGTTCGCAGGCATGAGCAAGTTTCAGAAATCAGGCACATTGGCAGTGCGGCCAGTGCATGCGCCAGGACGAGGCATCAGGTGGCCGCTGCCACAGAGCGCTACGGCGGGTTTAGGCGATCGGCACCAGAGGAAGAGGGTACAGACTCGGGCGGCTGGTAACACCACGGCGCTGAAGTAAAACATGAAGTCCAACCCGCCCTCAAACTTTCCCCTACCTGTGGCCACCAGCAGAGCGAAATTAAACCGACAGGGTCAAGTATATTCAGAAGGCCGTGGACGCATGCTGGAACTCCGCTTCGATGGAGCATGCAGGTGTGCGCATACACAGAATCTGGCGACTTGCCCGCACTCAATTATACACCACGCTGAACGCAGAGAGGGACTGGGGACGCACAGGGGTGTGGCGGTGAAGGCGGATGGGCTCGGCAGCAGGCGGCAGCGCCCTCCCCAGCGGCGAGCAGAAGAGCAAGCGCGGCGTCCGCGCGGCGGCTCACAGCCCGTCCGCCCCGCGGGCATCGAAGCCCACGCCCGAGCACGCCTCGCACAGCATCTCGATGGTCGTGTCGGACGGCACGCAGAGGACGTCCGCCGACGCGCCCTGCAGGCTGACCTTGGCTCGGCGCACGCCCTCCACGCCCTCGAGCGCCCGGCGCACGGTCTGAGCGCAGGGGTCGCACTTCATGCCCTTGACGGAGAGGCGCACCTAGGGGAGCAAAGAGATACCGATCAACTGCTACTCTCTGGCCCTCTGCCGCGGCTGCCGGGGTGCGTTCCGACCCGGATTTCGAGGCGAATCAGGCCGTCGGGCCTGAGCTGGATCGAATCGCGAAATCGGATCGGAAAAGGATCGGATCGCCAGTGAATCATCCCGAATCGAATCGAAATCGGGTCGCCGCGTCTTGCTCTGGCTTGCCCCAACAGGTGCCTGCGAATCCAGCCGACACGGATTGAGTCGGAATCGCGGCCCCGGCTGGCGAATCGAAGCGGATCGTATGCGGCCCTATGGAAGGGTATCGGCATCTGTATCTCCACCTCATCTGAACTGGTTTGGACCCCAGAAAATCAATCGGAGGGGGGGTGAAACCAAATTCGTTCAAAATCGATCCCTGGACCCCTCGCGGCGTCCATCTTGTGCAGTATTTCACCCCGGATCTGTTTCTGACGGTCCTGGGGCCCGAAACGGGCTCCCAGACGCCGAGAAAGGCAACAAAAACCTGATCGGACCCAGAACCTCGAACCTCTTCCCCCCCTTCCTGCTCGCTGGAACCAGTGCTGGGCGACCTCAGACCCCCAGCTGGCTGCAGGCAGCATCTGTAAATCCACCTCATCTGAGCACCGTGGCCAGGTCCTCCTTGGATGACGTCGACTCGGCGCCCGCGGCCGCGGCGGACGACGCCGGGCGCCGGCTCGACCTGGCGCTGACGGCAGCCTCGGTCGCGAGCCGGCAGCACGGGGAGCCGCCGCCCAGGTCCCACGCCCTCGAGCGCGCCACCGCCCCCGCCACCTTGTGCCCCAGGGCCAGGCCGACGATGACTGCGGAGAAGATCTCGATCGAGTAGGTCATGACGAAGAGCATCGCCAGGTAGGCGAGCACCAGGCTGACCGCGTGGAAGAGGAGGCCGACGTCCCCCTGCCGGTCCTTGGGAAGGAACTGCCGGCCCAGGGTGCAGAGCTCGACGGAGGCGCTCAGCAGCACCACACCGATGGAGGAGATGACCAGCTTCAAAGGGCTGTCGATGACAAGGCTCGGCAGGAGGAAATTGACGCACGCCTCATCTGGCGACGCGGAGGTCATCTTGAAGCCGTCCATGTACATGGTCACGCCAGTCCCCAAGTACGTAGTCCTGCAGAACCCGCCGTCTCCCCCTGGTGCCGGCCCTGGCGCTGGCTGCGAGCTGGACAGCGTGCACATCGGCTGGCACGTCGGGCACATCTGGCCAGTTTGGTCCGGCCACTTCGCGCCAGTGTCGGCATCGACGCACTGTATGCTCAGGTTCACGAACTCGGCCAGGTCGCCCACGCCAGTGGGTCTCCACTCCCCGCCCTTGCAGTCTTGCAGCTTCGAGACGTCCTGGAGGACCAAAAAGATACCAATACTGTAACTCCGACCTGTCCTAGGGTACGTTACGAGAAGGAGTTCGTGGCGAATGCAGCCGTGGTGACGGGAGAACGGCAGCAGAATCGGTATCTTTTCCTCCGCTGACGTCCATGCACGTCATCCAGCACTCGACTTGGCCCTCCACGCAGCCTCCCACCTGGTCCGCCAGCAGCCGGCCCTCGCCGCAGCCGAGGGCGGGGACCTCCGCCAACGACCGCCTGCCCACGGCCGCCCTCGCGGCGCCCCACACCTCGCCGAACGTCAAGGCCCCACCCCCCGCGCCCCCGACGTCCCCTCGGACTGGGGCGTCCTCTGGCGGCAGCAGCATCGCGCCGTACCACGCGCGCCAACCAAATCCGGGCCGAAGCCGCAGCGCATGCGGCGCCGGCCGCAGGCCAGGGGCGGACCCGTCGTCAGCGAGAGCCTGGCGCCCCAGCAGGTGCGCCGCCTCGCCCGCCAGGAAGATCACCGCGTCGCCCTGGCTGGGCAGGGCGATCTCGCGGATCTCGCCGCTGGGCAGCTGCAGTTCCACCAGCGAGGCTCTGTCCCCTCCTGCCTGCGTCGGCGGCGGCACGAAGGCCAGCATCAGACCCGCGTCCGTGTGGAGGCTCAGCGTTTCGATGGCCTCCTCGTCGGCGTCGGCGTCCGCCGCGGCCTGCTTCAGGCTGCGAGCTGGCGGCTGCTCCTCGTACAGGCGGATGTGCTCGAGGTGCGAGCCCAGGTCCAGGGCCTTCGCAAGCGTCAGATCGCCGCGTCCGGAGCCCGACCTCAGCTGCGCCCCCGCGCCCAGTTCTGCGTGCGCCGCAGCGGAGGCCGAGTCCACCGCGACCGCCAGGGCCCGCGCGGCGGCGCCAACGCCAGAGCGCATCGCCGACGTGGCTCGCTCGGCGGGTGGGCAGCCGCCGCCGAACGCCGAGGCGGCGTCATCTGTGCGGTCCCAGCGCCCTCCGGCGACCACGGACGCCCGCCGCACCGCGCCGTTCGCCAGCTGGCTCGCGTGCGCGGCCGCGGCGCTACCGCCCCGCCGCAGGCAGCTGGCCCAGGCGCCGAGGGCCTCGCTGCAAGCCTCTTGCAGGGGCGCCGCGCGGCCCGCCGTGTCCTGCGCGGGCACGCCCACCACGGCCAGCGCCCCCAGCGTGGACAGCGCGTGGCGGGAAACGCTGGCTGCGGCAGGCCCGCCCGCGGCAAGCTCGTGAAAAGAGACCTCTGGCAGCTGCAGCAGCTCCAGCACGCTGGCGGCCGAGCAGCCACGCGAGGCGACGGCCGACAACAATGTCAGCGTGGCCAGGCGCATTGCGGCTACCGACCCTCGGCGCTATCGGCCATCCGCGACGCGCTGTAGCCACGCATTGCATCTGCCACAGGACGGCCCAAGGGAGACTCAACACGATCCAAGACGGCAGTTGGAGAAGCCCAAGACTCGGCATGAGCCGCACAAGGCGCCCCCAGATTATAACCCATAGCCCCCCGAGAAGGCCCCATAAAGGTCCAAGGGAGCCACTGGGCGGCGCTGTTAAACGTCCCCAGGAGTTGGCGGGCCCCCCTTCAGTCCTGCAGAAGCGGTCGAAGCCTCTGAAGACTCGTTCTCGCACCCCATGTCCCTCCGAAGGACTCCAGGGAGTTCCGCAAACCGCCGCAGACCTCCAGCAAGAGCCGAAACCTATTCGAACACAATCGAAAATCGTAGATTACCTCCTCCTCCTCCTTCTCCTCTTCTTTGGCAGGAAAGGTGGCGGGATGCGACGCTCGCGCTCATGTTATCGGGACCTCAAAACTACAGTAACAGACATTGACCTACTGAATTATCCGAAGCCCTCCATGTCCTCTCCCTGTTGGTAATTGTCACCCCCTTCTCCCCCCCCCTCACCATCCCTCAACCCTCCTTCTCCTCCCCCATCAACCCTCAACATCCCCCACTCTCTGATCAACCCACCAACCTTCCTTCTCATCCCCCCTCCATCATCCCTCAACCCTCCCTCAACATCCCTCAACCATCCTGAGCCCTCCATTTCCTCCCCCTCTTGACACTTGTCTCATCCTCCCCCTCCCCCTCAACATTCCTCAGCCCTGCTTCTCAGAGGATGACGAGGATGCGAGAACAAGTATCGGAGGGCAGGAAGTCGTGGTCACCGTTGCCGCCGCGGCCTCCGCCGCCATCGCCGCCGCCGTGTGCGTCGTCGCCTTTCGTCGTCACCGTCGCCATCGTCGTGCTCGCTGAGGTCGCCGACCGTCGAAGGTCGAGAGTATAGGATCAAGGTTTTGGACATTGTTGACCACTGGAGGCCTTCAGAGGCCTCCAGGGCCTGTGGAACCCCCAGAGATTACAAGAGACCAGATGAGACCCTCGGAGATCTCCAGATCAATATCAGGTGGATCAGGAGCAGTTTTGGCTCTGCTCGGGCGGTCGGTTGACTCGCCTCCATTGGTTGGAGGGTAGCAAAGGGAGACAGGCCAACTGCACTTCATCTGCACCCGCTCGGCAACCATGCATCCGTCTGTCCGTCCGTCCGCGTCGTCGTCGCAGTCACCGTCGTCTTCGTCGTCATCGTCGTCGTCCTCGTCGTACTCGTTGTCCTCGTCGTCGTCGGCGTCGTCGGCGTCGTCAGCGGCAATGGCGGCGGCGCCGTCGACATCGGCGTGGGCGTGGGCGTCGGCGGCTGCAGCGTCGGCGTCACCGTCGGCGTCGGCGTCGGCGTCAGTATCGGCGTCATCGTCGGCGTCGTCGTCGTCAGCGGTGTCGTCGTCCTCGTCGTCCTCGTCGTCCTCGTCGTCCTCGTCGTCGTCAGCGGCGTCGTCAGCGGCACTGGCGGCGGCGTCGGCGCGGGCGTCGGCGTCGGCGTCGGCGTCGGCGGCGGCGGCGTCGGCGTCACCGTCGGCATCAGCCTCACCGTCGGCGTCGGCGACGTCATCGTCGTCGTCCTCGTCGTCGTTTTCGTCGTCGTCCTCGTGCACGTCGTCCTCGTCATCGTCGGCGTCGTCGGCGGCAATCGCGGAGGCCGCGTCAACCTCGGCGTCGGAAGTTGCGGCGTCGGCGTCGGCGTCACCGTCGGCGTCCGCGTCACCGTCGGCACCGGCGTCGTCGTCGTCATCGTCGTCGTCGTTTTCGGCGTCCGCGTCGGCCTCGTCGTCATCGGCGTCGTCGGCGACAATGGCGGCGGCGGCGGCGGCGGTCTCATGTCGGCGTGTTGGCGTCGGCGGCGGTGGCGGCGACGGCGTCACCGTCGGCGACGGCGTCCGCGTCACTGGCGACTTCGGCGTCGGCGTCACCGTTGGCGTCGTCGTCGTTGTCGTCGTCGTCTGCGTCGTCGTCGTCGTCCTCGTCGTCGTCGGCGGCGTCGGCGGCGGCAATGGCGGCAGCGCAGTCACCGTCGGCGTCGGTGTCGGCGGAGTTGGCGGCGGCGTCACCGTTGGCGTCGGCGTCGGCGTCGACGTCGTCGTCGGAGTCATCGTCGTCGGCGTGGGCGTCGTCGTCCTCGTCGTGGTCGTCGGCATTGTCGTGATCGTCCTCGTCGGCGTCGTCGGCAGCAATGGCGGCGGCGGTGTCAGCGTCGGCGGCGGCATCGGTGGCGGCGGCGTCGGCGTCACCGTCGGCGTCGGCTTCAGCGCTGGCGTCGTCGTCGTCGTCGTCGGCGTGTTGTCGTCGTCGCCGTCCTCGTCGTCCTCAAAGTCGTCCTCGTCGTTGTCGTCGTCGTCGTTCTCGTCGTCATCGTTGTCGTCGGCGGCAATGGCGGCGACGTCGGCGTCGGCGTCGGCGGCGGCGTCGACGTCACAGTCGGAGTCATCGTCGTTGTCCTCGTCGTCCTCGTTGTCGTCGGCGGCAATGGCGGCGGCGTCGGCGTCGGCGTCACCGTCGGCGTCGTCGGCGTCGTCGGCGGCGTCGTCGTCGTCCTCGTCGTCCTCAACTTCATTCGCGGCAATGGCGGCGGCAGCGTCTGCGTCGGCATCGGCGTCGGCGGCGGCAGTGGCGGCGGCGGCGTCACGGCGCCGGCGTTGGCGGCGGCGGCGTCGGCGTCAGCTTCGGCGACGGCGGCGTTGTCACAGGCGGCATCGACGTCGGCGTCGGCGTCGGCGTCGGCGTCGGCGTCAGCGTCGGCGTCGTGGTCGTCCTCGCCGTCGTCGTCATCATCGCCGGCAATTGCGGCGGCGGGGTCAGCATTGGCGTCGACGTCGGCAGAGGCGGCGTCGGCGTCACCGTCGGCGTCGGTGACCCCGTCGGCGTCGGCGTCGTTGTCGCCGTCGTCGTCGTCGTCGTCGTCGTCGTCGTCGTCGTCGTCGTCGTCGTCGTCAACGTCGTCGTCGTCGTCGGCGGAAATGTCGTCGGCGGCGTCAGCGTCGGCGTCGTCGTCGGCGCCTGCAGCGTCGGCGTCGGCATCGGCGTCAATGCTGCCGCACTGTCGACGTCGGCGTCGTCGTCGTCGTCTTCGTCATTGTCGTCCTCGTCGTCCTCGTCGTCGACGGCGTCGTCGGCACCGACGGCGTGGGCGTCGGCGGAGGCGGCGGCGGCGGCGTCACCGTCGGAGTCATGGTCGTGGTCGTCGTGGTCGTCGTCGTCATCGGGGTCGTCGTCGTCGTCGTCGTCGTCTTCCTCTTCGTCCTCGTCCTCCTCGTCGTCGTCGGCGATGTCGGCGGCAACGGCGGCTGCGGCGTCGGCGTCACCGTCGGCGTCGGCGTCGGCGGCGGCGGCGTCGGTGTCACCGTCGGCGCCGGCGTCGGCGTCACCGTCGGCGTCGTCGCCGTCGTCGTCGTCCACGTCGTCCACGTCGTCGTCGGCGGCAATGGCGGTGGCGGCGTCACGGTTGGCGTCGGCGTCGGCGTCGGCGTCGGCAACGCCGTCGTCGTCTTTGTTGTCCACGCCGTCGTTGGCGTCGACGGCGTCACCGTCGGAGTCGGTGTCCACGGCGGCGTCGTACGTCGGCGTCGGCGACGGCCAGGTCGTCGTCGTCACAGTCGGCGTCGGCGGCGTCGATGATCTCGTCGTCCTCGTCGTCGTTGGCATCTTGAGCGTCAGCGTCGGCGTCGGCGTCGCCGTCGGTGGCGGTGGCGTCACCGTCGGCGTCGGCGTCGGCGTCACCGTCGGCGTCATCGACGGCGTCGGTGGCGTCGTCCTCGTCGTCCTCGTCGTCCTCGTAATCTTCGTCGTCGTCGGCAGCAATGGCGTCGTCAGCGTCGGCGTCGGCGTCGGCATCGGCGGCGGCGTCGGCGTCACAGTCGGCGTCGGCGTCGGCGTCACCCTCGGTGTCGGCGTCGGCGTCACCCTCGGCGTCGGCGTCGGCGTCGGCGTCGACGTCGTCGTTGTCGTTCTCATCGTCGGCGGCGTCGACGGCGGCAATGGCGGTGGGGGCGTCAGCGTCGGCGGCGTCGACGGCGGCAATGGCGGCGGCGGCGTCAACGTCGGGGTCGGCGTCGGCGTCGTCGTCGTCGTTGTCGGCGTCCTCGTCGTCCTCGTCGTCGTTGTCGTCGGCGTCAGCGTCAGTGTCGTCGGCGGCGTCTGCAGCGGCGGCGGCGTTGGCGTCTTCGTCACGTCGGCGTCGGGGTCACCGTCGGCATCGTCGTCGACGTCGGCGTCGGTGTCGTCGTCGTCGTCGTCGTTGTCGTCGTCGTCATCGCCCTCGTCGTCGTCGACGTCGTACGTCGGCATCGTCGTCGTCGTCAACGTCCTGGTCGTCCTCGTCATCATCGGCGTCGTCGGCGGCATTGCCGGCGGCGTCTTGGTCGTCGGCGTCGTCGGCATCGGCGTCGGCGGCGGCGGCGTCGGCGTCACCATCGGCGTCGGCGTCAGCGTTGACGTCGGCGTCGTCGTTGCCGTGGTCGGCGTCGTCGTCGTCGCCGTCATCCTCGTCGTTCTCGTCGTCGACGTGGTCGGCGGCAACGGCAGCGGTGGCGTCGGCGTCGGCGTCACCGTCGGCGACGGCGTCGGCGTTGGCGTCGGCGGCGTCGTCGTCGTCATTCTCGTTGTCCTCGTCTTACGATGTTCCAACCTACTTTAGTCTTGAACGCCAGAAAGAATTTCGAGCACCAGAAAAGTGCCGAAACTCCAAGGTTTTCACGTGTCAGGCCCTGGGAGACACTCGTCCGACACTGCTTCGACACTTTTCCGGGTGCTCGAAATTATGTCTGGGACGTGGTCCTTAAGTACGATGGGAGCAACATAATCCTCGTCGTCGGGAATGGCGGTGGCCGCGTCAGAGTCGGCGTCGGCGGCGGCGGCGTCGGCGTCCTCGTCATCCTCGACGTCCTCGTCGTCGTCGGCGTCGTCGTCGGCAATGGAGGTGGCCGCGTCTTTGGAGTCCCGAAGCGGTGCGGTGACAGACCGTGCGGTGACCTCGAAACGCCAAGAGACCTCACCGCACGGTCCGTCACTGCACGGTCTTGAGACCCTAGAGGCC